TAAATGCATGCGAATGCATGCAAATGCATTCAAATGCATGTCATGAGCACAAGCTTAGACTGTAACCAAAAAGGGAAGTATTAACAAGTTGAGGTCTTTTACTAGTTTGCATCTGGTCAATTGAGCTCCTCTAAATGCATATCAAGAATCAGTTTTGAACGTTCTTTACCCATAGGTACCAAATTTGATTTTAAGACCCAAATGATGACATAGTTATGCTCGACATCATAACGCTTCGGTAAGTTTGGTAACGCCCATCACAACCGAAACCAAACTTCAACTTTATGGAAAATTTTGAGTACCTCAGGTCAAGTTACGTTTTCTTTCAGGGTCCCCACTTACTTCCTAGATGTTAGCTATTAATTAGAGTAGTTTCTATTGAACAGGTTGTGGTACTTTCGTTATTGAACCTGTGTTGAAGTAGTAATCCAAAAGTAAATTCAATCCCAATCTATTCACTCCAACCAAGGGCTAACGCTCGAAACGTCAGCTTCTATAATCGTCACGGTGGCCAATTTACCATTTCAACTTTGTTGATATATTCAAATTATTTCGTTACCCCCACCGACGCAGACCCAAACAGTTTCTTTAGAAACTATCAGCCTGTATTCAATCCCAACCTACATGTGACAAGTAGTGATATTTACCTGGATTTGTGACTTCGCTGAATGGTTCCACTGCCTTCAAGAAAGACTTCCTGCATGCCAGGTAGTCTTCTCTTTTGATGGTAGTTTTAAATCTGACATCTTTCAGGTCCAGTTCCTCTCTCACCTCATCAGTCAGAATGAACTTCTCAGCCATTTCGTTGAGGTGACCAGAACAGTAGTCATTCTTAAAACCTTCAAGGCTCTCCAGGGTGAGGCATTCCACTTGTATTTCTAGGCAGCCGAGTCCCAAGGCTTTGATAAGGAGGTTGTGCACGTTTCTTATGTGCTCGATGAGTTCACCTACTCCTCCATTTGGAGAAAATGTGTTGTACTCCATGAACATTGAAATTTGTTCTACAAGATGTTGGTTGAATTTCTCCTCTTTTTTGACATCAATCTGGTCGAGGGAAACTTTAATCTTCACTTCATGTGGTTGCCCAGTTGTGCCTGAGAAAAATAAAGAGTAGTCAGTAGT